GCTCACTGCTGCCAACTAGTGGTCAGAGGCTGAACTACAACATAAAAATGAACGGCTGGCAGGAAAGTTGACATTTTAAACCTTAATAAAAATTGATACAGGGTTTTAGAATATCGATACAGTATCAGGAAATGAAATATCGCGATATTTCAGTGTATCGATATTTTCTTTCACCCCTAAGAAATACACAGACATTGTTCCAATGAGTTTATTTCAAAGTTTTACCACAGAATATACGTATTTATCGTATGTCTTCAAGAGTACACCAAATTTTATTTTAATATATCAAAAAATGACTGGAGTTATATACAGTAGGTACATTTTTTATGGCCATCTTGAATCGGGTTGACCCAAAATTCTAATCAGTCTTAGAGAAATCTCCTCTCATTCCTTTGCTTCAATGCTTTATTTTTTTAAATGCATCACAAAAGCTCTAGATGTCTTCCCAACATTAAAAAATATCCGCTGAAGTCAGWGTTTTTATTTGTTTTCTGGCAGACTAATTCATCGTAAGTGGAAGTGTTGGAGTCAAAGTGCCCTTGAACCAAAACACTGAAGCTTCTCGAGAGTTGCTGCAGGAAAGAACACCAGCTGAACTCTTAATTTGTTGCATTAACAGGTCGGCACGCAGCAGCAGTCAGTGCACACGAGAACCCAGCTGTGAAATAATACCATCAGCACCTCATTAACTCACTATTTGATTTTTTCTTTAGTTTGAAGGCAAAATGATTAAGTGAGGGAACGAGATTCCAAAGCAAATTACAGAATATCAAAGTTCTGCAAACAAGAAAAGACACACAAATCAGGCTTTTCTTGGATAACCTGCCTTTTTCTCCAGAATTTATACCAATAGTGCTGTTTTCATTATCAGTCATTGTTAGTGCCATAAATAAGGATTGACAAGTAAAATTTGTATTATTTTTTGTCTTTAAACTTTGCTATTAGCAGTAAGTTAGGTTAACAAGAGCTTATGTTGACATTATTGTGAAATTCAGATTTTATTTTGAAAGTGTTACTTCCTGTTTAGCCAGGATATATAAAAAAAGAGAATGAGAAAGATTACAGAAGCACAGATTGATAGTTTTTTTTTTTGACGGTGCTAGCTGTGTGTGCTGGAAATAATATGAAAAAGATGTAGAAAAGGAATCTTTATTTTCATTTTTGTAATTTTGCTTGGACATTTTTTTCAGAAAAAAGGATTTTGTTGAATTTTACACGGTCTGGAACGCGTCCATTACTTTTCCAAGAGTGCTTCAAGAATGACAGATAATGGATCTGGTGCCATAACAGTCGTAAAAAATGATAAAAAAAAATTGAGTTGAAATAAAAAGTGAAACTTTAAACCAGTGGATGTGTGTTTACTAAATATCCCATGAACCACTGCACAGATTTTATTAAAGCTTTTAGAAAGAAAATAATGGATAAACTGATGAATGTACAGAGCAGGGGCGGAGCCAGAGGTGTGGCAAATGCCTTCCCTGGCACCTTATTGGCCACCCCAAATGATTGACAAGTGGGGTTAAGTTTATTTGTGGCATTTCAAAGATGGGCATTTAATGAAAGCTATTGATGTGCTAGGGGACTTTTTTTGCTAGCCAGATTAGCTTTCAGTACGTCATGTGACCGGTTTTGCTAGCTAGATTAGCTTTCAGTACGTCATGTGACCTGTTTTGCTAGCTGGATTAGCTTTCAGTACGTCATGTGACTTGTTTT